TCTCAAGTCCAGGATTACATATAGCACAAGTCTTAAGATAACAATGATGCTAACAGTAAGGATAATTTAAAATTGAGAGCTTACCATGCTTTAGTCATTGTTTTAAATGTGGAATTAATGTGGATTAACACATTTAATTCTCAGAATACTCTTATGAGGTAAATACTGTTAGTTACCCCCATTGTGTATGTGGGAAAGCTGAGGCATAGGGAGTTTGGATCGGGCTTCAGGTTCTGCCTACTTTTTTAAAATAAAAATTTGTATAGGTAAATGTGCTGGTAAACTAGGTTCTGCCCTCTTTACTGATAGTTATGTGGTAGTCTTAAACAAGTTGCAGTACCTCGAAGCCTCAGTGTTCCTATCTATAAATGAGGGTGATATTTTCAATGTAGGTTGCTTTGTAGAGTAAATGAGAATATATGTAAAACACTGAGCACAATGCTTGCAAATAAGAAATGACAAGTATTTGCTAACATGTTTAAAATATTTTAAATCAAGTAGTCTTTACATAAATGATACTAGTGTTCAAATTTCAGGTAATTCTTTATGCTTAATTCATTCATTTGATGAGTAATCAATCATATTTTCAGAGTCTGGGGGAAATTATGATGATGTTAAAAATGTAAGAAATTAAATCACATCTCTACATGCCCACTGGTCTGCCTATGGTCTGGTTTCTGTGCTGACGCCAGTGATCTTTAAAAATGTAAATCTGCATAGGATTTATACCTGATGTAAATGACGAGTTGATGGGTGCAGCACAGCAACATGGCACAAGTATACCTATGTAACAAACGTGCACGTTATGCACATGTACCCTAGAACTTAAAGTATAATAATAATAAATTTAAAAAAATGTAAATCTGCTCATATTACAGAGAGTGTATAACCCCTATTTTATTAGTGTCCTATTACTTTCAGGATAAAGGCTAACACTAAACCCAGAATGGCCTTTTCCATGCTCTCTCTTTAACCTCCTCTTGAGCCTGGCTTGCTGCTATTCAGCTAGACTGGCTATTTTTCAGATTTTTAAAGGCCTATGTTAGTTACTGTCCCAGGACTTTGCTCTGAAATGTTCTTTCTATGACTCTGGCCTCCTGAACTCCTGTGCATCCTTCAGATCTCAGCATAAAGGTGACCCCTCAGGGCAGCTGTTCCTACTCCTTCCCTTTTTCTCTTCCCATCTCAATAGCGACTTTTGGCATCTCTAGTCATAAAACCGTGGTCTCTTACTTGAAAGCATTTATCTCTTATTCTAATTAATCAATTAATTACTCTGGTATTATAGCTCCCTAGAATAAGTGGGGATTTAAAGTTGTCTCTCTCATTAAACAATGATGGACAGGGATTGCATCTGTGTCTTCCATTGTAAATTCTAATACTTTTCTACTCCTGAAAATTTTGTAAGATATAAATAAGACCATGGAACTCATTCTTCTGCTCAGAATCCTCTAGTACTTGCCAATCATAATTGGAACCAAATCCAGACTCCTTACTAAGGCCTCCTTTGATGAACAGCTTCCTATTGCTTTGCTAACAGCATGTCAGATTCATTACAAAGTCAGAGGTATTCTATTTGCCTTTCTTTCCTCCTGAAGCATTTCTCACTAGGTCTTCATATAAAGCTTTCCTCGTCTTTTAGACCTTGATGGAAATTATATTTACCTAAAGTGACTGCCTCATGCCCTGCCCTCCCTGACATACATTCTCTCCATCACATCCATATGAATTTTTTTCGTTCTAAATGTGTTTTCTTTCTCTCAGAAGTTGACTGTAAGCTCTCTGATAGCAGGATGCCTCCTTGAGATTTGTGTCCTCATATTCTACAACACAGCCAGTCACATTATGGATCATTTGTAAATATTCATTCATCATAAAGGAATAAATTATAAAAACTATATGATGCATTATTGTGAGGTTTAATCTGTTTTTCTAAGCCTTATTTTTTAAAGGCAAATGAATTTTGTCATAAATGTTCCATTTAAAAGAATGTATACATTTCCTATTCTAAGTATTGCATTTTGCATAGGCTTTAATGTTAAAATATTGAGAAACACAGTCCTTTGAAATTATATTCCACTGCTATGGAATTTTGTGGACCATACAAACAGGCATATAAATCTTCATTGTAATCACACATTCATAGAGAATATGAAGTACACTTATTCTTATTAAATTTCTGCCTCTACTCTGCCTCTTACAATTTTTTCCCATCCTTGTTTCTCAAATTATATTTTCCAGAGACCAAAGGATGTTAAATTGTAAAATTTAAATTTCTAACCTAAATATTACAATGAAATTTTCTTTTAATGAAGAAGGACTTAGGAAAGCAATACATTATGGATTAAAACATAATGCAAAGGATTAACTCAAGCAGGTATCTGGAATGTACTGAAAGAAATGACATACTTTCACCTTCAACAGTGGCACTATAATATTTTGGGCTGGACAGTTCTTCATTTTTAGGGAGCTGTTCTGGGTCTTTGAAGATGTGTAGCAGTAGCCCTGGCCGCCACCCACCAGATGCAGTATTATCTTCCCCTCCAGTTGTGACCAAAAAGAGTCTGCAAATCTTGTCAAATATCCCTGGCAGAGGGGGTGCAAAACTACCCCCAGTTCTATACATACCTTATAAGTCATTTGCTAGAATTTCAGAATTATCATTTTTCACAAGGTACTTTGGCCCTAGAAATGCTGGCTCAAAGCCATTATTTTGGGCCTTCCACCAATGCCGTGTCTGTTTCCCTTGAGGCTTGCCAGAATCTTTATGTAGGTGACTGTAGATCATGGTTATTTACTTTCATTTTCTCAGATATTAAAGCATATTTTCCATCTGAGTTTTGAATGGTAAGGGTAAGGCTATTCACTGCCTGCTATCCTCAAAATAGAAGTGGATGTGCAACCACAGATATTTCATTGAAAAATCTCAGAAAGATAAAAGCATATCTTAAACATCATAGATACAGATTTCTATGCTGAAATGTCAACTTATAGATAGATGGCGTAACCCTAAAATGGTTGATGATTCCATTTTTGGTGCAGTTATAAATCATTTCACTTGTTTGTATTTCAGGACCTCCAGGATATAATGGCTACCCTGGGCCCCAGGTTGGCTACCCACCCCCACCAGCTGGCCATTCAGGTCCTGGCCCAGCTGGCTTTCCTGTCCCAAATCAGCCAGTATATAATCAGCCAGGTGGAGCTGCAGGGATACCATGGATGCCAGCACCACCGCCTCCATTAAACTGTCCACCTGGATTAGAATATTTAAGTCAGGTAATTTCAAAGACACAAAATACTCATAAAAAACAGAACTGTGCTTCCAGCTTGCTTAACCAGATTAACAAATGAATAATTCACCAAAGTCTGAAATGGCAAAACTATATTTCCTGCTAAGAGATTACTCTCATTCTTTTAGGTCAGGTTCAGTTTTAAAGCAAAACACAAATGCCTTAGAAAATTGTACTTTCTGTGATCTTAAATACAATCTACGATAATGGCCAGTAACAAACATTTAATTAACACTGTTTTCCTGTCTTTGTTGTATGCCTGATACATGTATTAACTCATTTAATCCTTATAGAAAGTCTATGATGTATAGGTGCTACAGTTATCTCCATTTTTCAAAAGAAGAAACTGAGGTCCAGAGAAGTTATATAGCTCGCTCTGGGGTGAGAACCTAAAGAGTTAAGACTGTTTTTTTAATCCCCAAACTTTGGTACTGAGCAAAGTGCTCTTTAATCTCAATACTGAATAATTGCTTTATAATTTGAAATAAAATTTAAATTAAGTTTATTTTTGAGTTTCAATAAGTGGCACCAAACAAGGGGTTAATATTTTATGTGTAATACAACTCACCTTTTTATTGTAACTAATAAAACTGCATTTTTCTGATGCTGCTTTTGTTCTTTGGAAGACCCAATTTTATAAATGCCATTAATAAAGGAGTAAAAAGTCCTGGATTTTGTTGCACTGAATTATAATTAATCTCAGCAATAAGAAGTTTAACATTTATTTGGTGTTAGAAATCAGGTAGATCAAATAAAAACAAGAAACTCCGTGTGTCCAGCCAGTTTTCATTTCATAAATCACTTCTTTCTTGCACTCTCTTTAGTAACTTAATTTCCCACAATGCACTTAAGTGACACAATCATAGGAATTTTTGGTCATTATTGTATTATGCAAGAAATACACAGAAATAGATATTTTAAAAATCAGGGTCTCATAAAATACATAAAGGATGTTATCACATATGACAAAGGCTGATATTAAGTATGCTTAATACAAATTTGAAACTTGTAAAAAAATCTCTTTGATGGCTAAAGAAGTTATCAATATTTCTTGAGCCTCCTCTAGAAGGAAGACTGTTTTCTACTTTTCAAATTGTTTTTGACACATAATAATTGTGCATATTTATAGAGTACAGTCTGGCATTTTAATGCCCATGTACTATGTGTAATGAAAAATGAGAATAGTTAGCATACCTATCACTTTCAATATTTATCATTTCTTAGTGTCGAAAACATTCCAGATCCTCTCTTCTAGTTATTTGAAAATATACAATAAATTGTTAAGTATAGTCAACCTACATAGCTGTGGAACACTAGAATTTATTCCTCCTATCTAAATGTAATTTTGTATTCATTAACCAACTTGTCTTTATACCTCTCCTCTCTACCCTTCACAGTTTCTAGTAACCACTATTCTACTGTCTACTTTTTGTTGTTGTTTGGATGGAGTCTCGCCCTGTTGCCCAGGCTGGAGTGCAGTGGCGCCATCTCAGCTCACTGCAACCTCCGCCTCCCAGGTTCAAGTGATTCTCCTGCCTCAGCCTCCCAAGTACCTGGGCTACAAGCGCCCCCCACCACACCCAGCTCGTTTTTGTATTTTTAGTAGAGACGGGGTCTCACCATATTGGTCAGGCTGGTCTCGAACTGCTGACCTTGTGATCCGCCTGCCTTGGCCTCCCAAAATGCTGGGATTACAGGCGTGAACCACCGTACCCAGCCTCTACTCTCTACTTCTAAGAAATCAATTTTTTTAAGCTTCCACTTATGAGTGAGAACATTCAGTATTTTTCCTTCCGTGCCTGGCTTATTTCACTTAACATAATATGTCCCTGGCCGGGCGTGGTGGCTCAAGCCTGTAATCCCAGCACTTTGGGAGGCCGGGACGGGCGGATCACGAGGTCAGTAGATCGAGACCATCCTGGCTAACCGGGTGAAACCCCGTCTCTACTAAAAAGTACAAAAAACTAGCCGGGCGTGGTGGTGGGCGCCTGCAATCCCAGCTACTTGGGAGGCTGAGGCAGGAGAATGGCGTGAACCCGGGAGGTGGAGCTTGCAGTAAGCTGAGATCCGGCCGTTGTACTCCAGCCCGGGCGACAGAGCGAGACTCCGTCTCAAAAAAATAAATAAATAAATAAATAAATAAATAATAATAATAATATGTCCCTTAGGCTCACCCATGTTGCTGCCAGTGATAGGATTTCATTCATTTTTATGGCTGAGTTTTATTCCATTGTGTGTATCAAGAATGAATTTTTCTTTATTCATTTATCTATTGAACACTTAGGTTGATTCTAGATGTTGACTATTAATGCTGCAATAAGCATGAGATTGCAGATACCTCTTTGACATATTGATTTCCTGTCCTTTAAAATTTTTGTTCTGAAAATTTCGAAAAATTTGAAAAAATACTGTTTAAAAAAAAACAGTAGTGGTATTGCTGAATCATATGGTGGTTGTAATTTTAGTTTTTGAGGAACCTCTTCACTGTTCTCCATAATGGCTGCTCTAATTTACTTTCCCACCAACAGATTTCCCCTTCTCCACATTTTTACCATTATTTGTTATGTTTTTGTCTTTTTGATAATAGTCATTTTAACTGGACAAAGATAATATCTCACTGTGGTTTGGATTTCATTTCTCTGGTGATTAGTGATGTTGAGCATTTTTTCATAAACTTACTGGCCATTTATATCTATGTATGTATGTATGTATGTATGTATGTATGTATTGAGACGAAGTCTCGCTCTTGTTGCCCAGGCTGGAGTGCAGTAGCACAATCTCGACTCGCTGCAACCTCTGCCTCCTGGGTTCAAGTGATTCTCCTGCTTGAGCCTCCCATGTAGCTGGGACTACAGACGCCTGCCACCACACCCAGCTCATTTTTTGTATTTTTAATAGAGACAGGGTTTCACCATGTTAGCCAGGATGGTCTCGATCTCCTCACCTCGTGATCTGCCTACTTTGGCCTCCCAAAATGCTGGGATTACAGGCATGAGCCACCTCAATTTACTAATTGTTAAAGATACTCCAGTGTAAATCAATTTTATTTGACCTGAATTTTTCCACATTAATAATGAACACAATAAATCTTTTATTAATTAAAAATATTAACTTCAGTTTTATACTAAAAAGTAATATAAGCTATTAAATATTGATAACTGATTACATGTACTTTAAAAAATATAAATACATGAATTTTAATTTGGTTAGCTTATAAAAACCTTCATTTGACATATACTTACCACTTATTTTTTTTTTTCCTGTGACAGATAGATCAGATACTGATTCATCAGCAGATTGAACTTCTGGAAGGTATGTATTCATTGTTTTAATCCTGTTTCTATACAGAGTAGAAGTTTATGCAGACAAAGGCACATCAACCTCTACAAATATAACACTCTCACTTATATGGGACAGTTAAGCCGGTTATTTACAGTAATAAACATCAGCAATTCGTTTCTAAAATTTAGGAATCAAAAGGTAAAATGCTATTATGTTGGGCACCTGCCCTCAGGATATTGACACTAACTTAGAAGAAAAATAATCAAAACCCTTATTTTGCTCCTCTCTTCATACATCACTTTTTATCTGACTTCTGCCACTTAAGCTATTTTCTCCATAATTGTGATCAGCTTACGAATGGCACAGAGCCACATTCTAAAGTAAGTTATCTTTTTTATTCGGATGAGGAAGTTTGGGAAAATTATCATTGCTGCCCACAGTTTCTCTTGGGAGTTAAGATGAATGCTATAAAACCTTTGTATACCAGGTCGGATGCAGGACACTGCAGTGTTGGAGGATGCTGACCAACTAGCCTGCAGGCTTGGCTTCATAGAAGAGCACTCCTGCTCCTGCTGAATGGCCTGGCATTTCCTTGGGTATAGGGCTCCTTAGGTGCAGGAATAAACTTAGGAAGCCAGTAATGTTTTATAATGACTGCCAGGGGAAGAAGACCCCGGGTAGATTTATGAACCATAGTGTTTTCCTTCTAGATATAAAAGGTTTAGTAAAAACTCTGCCAGTTTTTAGGAATATGTCTGTTAAATTCGTTTTCACCTGTCTCCAAAGTTTCTTTCCACTGGTAAAAAGTAGAACATGGATTGTATAACCAAAATAATGGATTTGGCTAAAATATACGATTGTCATCTATTACATTGAAGTTATTTATAAAGCACAATATTAGATATTTATAATTTACTTGATTTTTTTTAGTGTATGTAAACAAAGCTTTCTCTGGAAGACAGCTTTGTATTCTGAATTTTTTATGTTTTATAGTATATATTAATAAGGCTATAAAATCCAAACAGACATATAACCAAACATTACACAGCACACTATTTATCTTTTTTTGTAGGTTTATGGGCTTTATAGATATTGTTAAATAATGTGTTAATTATGAAATAGAAAGTTCCAAATCTAATAGTTTTTAATTATGCTTATTTTTCAAAAAAGAAATGTCTCAAGGTTTTTTGTCTCTTTTTCTCCAAAATTGAAAGTCTATGTTATTTTTTCGTGAGTGATATAAAAAAGACGAAGATTACTCAGTTTTTTAGAATCTGAGCATAAAATAGGCACTTACTTTTTTTCTCAGTTCAAAACACAGAAGACAAGACATAAACAATTTGTTTTTTTGAGTAAATGAAAAGAAACTTAAAGGTTATGTAAAGCAATGTTGTTTTACAAATAAACTGGAGATTTTTGAGATTAAGCTACTTAGTGAAACAATTAATTAGATAATAAATGCCCTCTCAAAATCAGCTTAACTTTTTTCTCATTAAACATTTGACTATTTCAAATGTTGATATCAGAAGTGGTTCTTATAAATGCAGAGTACAGGGTCTGTCTGTGTCCCACCAAGGACTCTTAAAGGCGTTCGTAGTGCTAAGACTTGTGAAGGCCATCTTTCTCTGACTCAGAGTCTTTCCACATAGGCATTGTAGAGTGACTTTTCCTCCACATATTTATTTTAATCACTCATTATTGTAGTCAGGCTTCTGACATCCATGACCCCAGTTACTGAGGGCTATGTACAAGTGGAACAGTTACTGCTCCTTTCTGGCTTTAAATACGGAGAGGTTTCTTTCCAGTGTGTGGTTAGATACGGAAAGCCCTTGATACAAAAGCATGTGAGCGTCAGCATTTTGCAGCCATCTGTTTCGCTCATGAAGAGATTAGCCCAGCTAAGGTGCAGATTCCCATGGTCTAGATATTCTGTGAGTTGAAGTGTTGGTTGCCAAACACCCTTTGTCTAATACCCACCTCCCACTTCTGAACAACTACTGCTGAGTTGAATAAGGATGCCCTGGGTCCACTGTGACATTCTAAGTCACCTTTCATTTTTCACTCCCTCGGTTTTTATGCACGTACATTGCCTTCTTTCAAAAGCATTGCAAAAAATAAGACATAAGTATGGTTTATAAGACAGTCTCAAACCGATTGATTTAATATAAAATTTCATAGCACGTAAACAGCAATCCTCTTATATTCCCCTCCACATTACACAAAAACTATCATGCATTAGTGGACATTTTATCTATGCACCTAGCACCACTGTGCCCACCCACAGCATTGTCCCAACCCTCAGCAGAAAAGTCTCTCTTCTGACAGACATATATGGAATTAGGAAAATATAACTTGTTTCCTGTGTCTCACATAAGGACTTAATTTCTCTATACATTGGTAATCTCTCCTCCTCCTTTTTTTTTGCCATTTTTCTCTGCCTGGATCATCTATGAACATCATGTCTTCTCCTTCTCCTTATGCCACTTGGAGTATCATCTAAAACTGGCATAGCTAGATATTATATCATCTTTGGATAAATTCAATATTTTTAACATAGACGTGATTATGATTTCGTCTTTTATGTTTTTAGTTTTAACAGGTTTTGAAACTAATAACAAATATGAAATTAAGAACAGCTTTGGACAGAGGGTTTACTTTGCAGCAGAAGATACTGATTGCTGTACCCGAAATTGCTGTGGGCCATCTAGACCTTTTACCCTGAGGATTATTGATAATATGGGTCGAGAAGTCATAACTCTGGAGAGACCACTAAGATGTAACAGCTGCTGTTGTCCCTGCTGCCTTCAGGAGGTCGGTGAGCAATTACCAGGGCATTTTGTAAAGTAGTTCAGCAAGAATTTCTACCCTGTCATTGAACCTTTCATCAAACGTAGGCATTAAGATTATTACATTTACATATATTATTTTGCCTTATAGATAGAAATCCAAGCTCCTCCTGGTGTACCAGTAGGTTATGTTATTCAGACCTGGCACCCATGTCTACCAAAGTTTACAATTCAAAATGAGAGAAGAGAGGATGTACTAAAAATAAGTGGTCCATGTGTTGTGTGCAGCTGTTGTGGAGATGTTGATTTTGAGGTAAGAGATGTCATAATGTTTATAAGATTTGCTTTCCTAATAGAAGAATGTAATTTTGCAGGATATTATAAATGCATTAAATAAGTATTGTGTGCCAATGTCTCAATAGCAAGATAATTTGCTCATATATTTAACTTTGGTCAGAATGATAGTTATCACTCTAATTAAAGGTCACTGTTGGTCATGATAAATGGAAAAAAGAGAAGCAGACCTCTGTAGTCAAATAAAAATAAGCAAATCATCTAACACTTAAATGTGGTGGTTTCTGTGTGATGACACTGTATATTATCCATTTTAAACAGAATGTTAACCTTGTCATCTAAGTCTGATTGCCAAAGCATATGGATCCTTCTTAAATCTGAAATATCAGCTGCCAGTGCTCAAGGCCATGTTCAGAATGTCTGACATCTTTGAATTCCTACTAGAAACCCAATTATGCAAAGATAGTTTTGAGAAAATTAGTATAATATATACTACCCAATTATGCTTCTCTGTGGTCTCTGCTTTTCCCTGTATTAAATTAGGTCACTGGAAGCTGCAACATATTAATATTTGTATATTTACTGTAATATATTGTAGAATTTCATTACAGTAGTTCTTCAACAACAGATGGTCTACTTTTACAATCCAAATTTTTTCATTGCAAATGTTTAAAAATCAGAAGGTTTTATGACTTAATCTTGATTTCTTGTTTCTCTTGGAAAATCAGAAAACTGGGTTAACTGGTCCCACCTTTCCACAGAAAGGGCAAAAATCTACTAAAGATGTGTGGGGCTGCCCCTTGTAATAATGACATGGGAACTCTATCACTGTCTCCACCCCTTACTGAGGATTTTCAATATCCAGTGTCATTCCTTTACATGATCTGTCTGCCTTCTTTAATCATATGGTATTTGATTCCTCTGTCAGACCTCAGCTATGTAAAGATGAATCCTTTTCCCTCATTGACTTAATAATCTAATGACAGAGATTTGCAGTTCTAAGGAGGAGGTGATGTAGAAACTTTAAAAAGGCTCTTATAAAGGGATTGTATAGTGTGTGTATGTATATGTGTGCATAATATGCATGTATAAAATTTTATATAGGGGTATGCATAATAGCAGTTCTTCATGTAAGGGATGGAATCTCTATCCTACATCCAGAGAAGTGAAAAGTAATTTCTCATTCAAGGAACAATATTAACAGAAGTTTGGCTGGCATATATTTTACTTTTAGTAAATAAATGTAAACACTGGAAAAGCATTGTGTAATCCTTATATTTGATACTAAAGAATTTATGTTTCATGTAGCAGCCTTCCTTGATGGATACCTTGAAGCATCCATTCCATGTAATAAATTAACTTTTCTTCTATTTATCCAGAATGATGATATCAAGGTACTCTCATGGAAAGAATTGAGAAATAGTCACTTGAAGAATTTTCCGTAGGGTTGACAATGGAAACTGTGACACCTCAAAGCAGAAATTATTGGTATGAGGGACCACTAAGGAACAGGAAATCCACCAGGGTGCCACTGGGCATGGAAACTTGAAGTAATAAAAGAGATAAAATCCTGTTCCACAGCAGGGGCAGGAGTCATTCTAAAACAGAGAATAACTCAAGAGGCATTTTATCGGTGTACTATGTGGAACTAATTCATGGATTTGATGTCAATTGAGGATGAAAAAAATTTTGGAGATAAACTTGATGTGTTATTATTCTGATATTACATTGGCCAAGTTGAGAATCTTGGAGGAAAAACACTTGATTTGTGTCCTCTTGACCATTATGATAGTCTGCTTTTTAAAAAGTAAGGTATCAAATACTAATACACATCTAGGTCAGGGACCAGCAAAATGTAATCAATGGGCTCTAGTTGATTATATAAAATATATATGGGAAGTTAATGACTTGAATTACAGTCATGTTGGATTTTAGTTATGTAGAGGAAAAGAATGGAGAGTTTTCAGCAAACAGATAGTAATTGAATCTCTAAGAAGGTTATCTCAATGGTGAGTAAGAGAGAGCCTAGTAGACCTTTTATCCAATATAGATAATAAGAGAGTCTGTCTCCTTCAAGGACTCTTGGTAGGGGAAAAATATGGCCACACGAAACTGACATACCAAGTCACTTCTGTCTATGAGCTTCAATTCCTGCCACTGTTGTGTTTCAAGAATCTCAAAATACAGAAATTGATCCTGAGTGGTAATAAATTCTATATGGTCAACTACAGCCCACAGATTTTTTTTCCTGCCCTCTCAACTAGATTTTCATTAGTATTCAATAAATATGTTTTTAAAAAGCAGGCAATCATAATGGTCAAGAGTATAGACACTGGAGCCAGATACCCAGGTTTGAAACCCATCTTCATAACACTTACCTGTGTGACCTTCAACAAATTCTTTCACTTCTCTTTGCTTTAGTTTTTTTACATGAAAATTGGGTGTAATAACAGTAAATAAATAAATAATTAGCAAGTAAATAAAATAGCTTACCAGCAACTATTAATATACTCACGATACACTTATATTTCTTTGCTACATAACTAGATCCTATATACTGTCGTTATATTTCAGTATTTTGCATTTATATTTGCATTGTGAGATGAATCTATGGTTTTCTTTTTAGAATGATTTACCAATTAGTATTACGTTTATGGATTTAAAAGTTTAACATTATACAATACCAATTTATTATTTCCAAATGTTGAAATTTTATTACAGTAATTTTCTATTCCAAAATGTCTACAATTTAGCTAAAAATTATCTAGTCTTGATAATTTATTGGTTGAAGATCATTATTTGCATTTCTTTTCCTTGCCATAAAAAAATGTATTCTCTACTTCTTTAAATTTCTTGCTGTAGTAATCAAAAAGGGCAAATGTTAATATCTTTGTATAGTGTTAGGTTTACAGTGGCTAGTAAGTTGTCAGCTGCATTTTTCATTTTTTTTAAATTTCAGAATTAAAAAATAAACCAGAGTTTTCATTACTAGCTTCAAATGCTTCAATGACAGCTATTAGCAGAAAAATACTAACATGTACAAGAAAGGATTTGTATTCATTTATTTTGCCACAGTAGTATTTCGTTACACATAATCCCTAAAACTCAGCCGCTTGCAACAAGCGTTTATGCTCATGCTTAGGGGTGTGCAGGTCAACTGTATTTCAGTGGATGTATTTAAGCAGTGATTTGGGCTGCATGTTAACCTCAGTCTGCTCCAGGTATGTTTGTTCTGTGGCTGTAGCAGCCGCAGCTACCTGAGTCATGCTTTTCTAGTGGCTTATCACTGAAGATCATAAGCCAGGTCAAAGCACTTAGCCCAGTTTAAGGACACTCTCATGTCATATCTACTAACACCCATTGTTCAAACAAGTAACATGGCCAAGCCTAATTATGAAGGAACAGGAAGTATACTGGCCATACAGAAGGAGAGGGAATGAAATGAATATTTGATGAACAGTATTATGCTATCAGTTTCATATTAGATGTTTATTTCTGGTATTTTACAAACTCTCCACTTGTACTAAAATAAAGTGAGTCAAGTGTTTTTAGATTCCCCACATATATTTAGCTGAAAAGGACACTCCTCTGTTAACACAACTATAGATGTGCCTAGTTTTGTGAATTTCAGCTACATTCAGTCCCCACCTGCCCTCCTAGAGGAGTTGCCTTAGTCTGAGCACAGTCCATTCAACCCTATATATGATGGCCCTGGGCTTTCCTCAGGCAGAATTGTAAAATTAGGAAATTGCTACTTTGGAGCTCATTTGTTTATACACTCTTCGTCTTTTATTATTCACACCCCACTAGTTACCCACTGTTACTTCAGCCCTTGTCGTGGGGCATTCCATCAAGTTACTTACTGGTATTTGCCTTTACTCCAAACTGCTAATCTTTTCTAGGCGCTTAGCATTTCATGTTTGGTAACTCACAGTGGGTGGTAATAAGCCTTTTCATCATATTTAACCTTTCGGTCTGTGTAAACTGTGCTTCTCCTAAAGCAGAAGTCTAATAGGAATTTTGTTCATTACCTTCCTGATGGCTTCTAGAAATGTCATCACATAAACATTTCATATTTATATCTTTTTTTGCCTAAATTTTATTTTGGGTCAATTCAAATAATTCATTAATGTCTATTAATATAAAATAGAAATTGTTAAATATTTCAGAAAAACTACTTTCATATAATTTCTCTATATTATGAAACAGTTTTTTTCATATATCTATAAATAGATACCAGAGCCTCTAGTTATCTAATGAGGGTTACATGTTCATGGTTACGTATGGTACATAATTTTAATACCATATTTGTTTCATCTTCAAATTTGAAAGTACTTTTGCTATAAGTTTCCTAAAAATATGTAATACTTTTTTTTCAATTTAGATTAAATCTCTTGATGAACAGTGTGTGGTTGGCAAAATTTCCAAGCACTGGACTGGAATTTTGAAAGAGGCATTTACAGACGCTGATAACTTTGGAATCCAGTTCCCTTTAGACCTTGATGTTAAAATGAAAGCTGTAATGATGGGTGCCTGTTTCCTCATTGTAAGTCTGTTCTTACTAATGTTGATTATAGATACTTTCTCTAGGTTCATTCTGAAATGATTCAGTAAAGTGTATATTTCAAAATGACTTTTTAAAATTTATGGATTTTAAATCAGGATTCCCATTTAATCCTAGCTCTGAAATTCTATTTGATCCTGACACTCTGGGGTGACTAGTTTCTGTCTGAAGAGTCTATGAATATTCACATGGCAAGAGAGGGACTAGGGAGGCGTACTAAGGAGAGATTTTAGTCTCCCCTTAAATCAGCCATCTCCTAGATGCTTTGAGGAAGAAGTTGAAAGTGGGCATATGTGGAAAAAATTTAGTGAAACAAGGAAACTTGACCATGACTCATACTAATTAAATTAAACCATCTAATATAGGAGTATGAACTACAGTAAGAGTGTGCATTCACTCAAGTGTGTAGACCTAACTACCAAATTACAGGAGATAATCGGATATACCAGTGATTCTGAAATTGTCTTCACATTAGAATCACTTAGGGACCTTTAAAAACTGTAAGTACTAGTCCATACCTCAGTTCAACTGAGTCAAACTTCAAAGTTCATATAGTGCTCCAGGTGGTTCCAATATGCAGCCACAGGTGAGAATTATGGGGATAGAGAAAAAGTCACATTTAGAGAAAATGACCGGAAGATTAATTAAATTCATACAGATATCAATACATGAATAGAATTATAAAATTTATTATTAAAATGGAAAGCTAAAGGTAGAACTTATATAACTATAGAGCTTTTCTGTGTTTATTACATTTAATTTTTTTTAACAGATATGTTACTGTGTTTCACTAGATCCCTTAGTATTTCTGCATCTGATAATTGATCTCTGTTTTGTTGCTGAAAATTCATTTGTATATTTTTGTTTTTATCTAGGATTTCATGTTTTTTGAAAGCACTGGCAGCCAGGAACAAAAATCAGGAGTGTGGTAGTGGATTAGTGAAAGTCTCCTCAGGAAATCTGAAGTCCGTAAATTGATTGAGACTATCTAAACTCATACCTGTGTGAATTAAGCTGTAATGCCTGTAGCTCTGGTTGTATACTTTTGCTTTTCAAATTATAGTTTATCTTCTGTATAACTGATTTATAAAGGTTTTTGTACATTTTTTAATACTCATTGTGAATTTGAGAAAAAGGACATCTGAGTTTTTGCATTTATTAATGAAACTTCCTATAAAAAACTGCTTTGAATTATGATCTCTGATCCACTGTCCATTTTACTACCGAATATTAACTAAGGCCTTATTAATTTTTATATAAATTATATTTTAAATCTAGTTACAATTTATTTCATGCATAATAGCTAATGTTATTTTGCAAATGCCATATATTCAAAAAAGTTCAAAGATAATTTTCTTTACTGTTATGTTCAAATAATGTTCAATATGTATATTATCTTTAAAAAGTTAAATGTATTTTTTAATATTCAAGAAATCATGCTACACTTAACTTCTCCTAGAAGCTAAGCTGTACCATAAATGACACACTCATGTTCACAAGATATTAAATTACGAATTTTTAAATTATTGTTAAATAAAGAACAAAATAAAGAACAAAATGATTCTTGTCCAAAGAAAGGCACATTTTAAACACTCCTTCACTCTAAAACTCGTACTATTATAAATTTTGAAAGTTAATATTTATATATGAAATGTATAGCTTTTATACTCTATCCTTTCTAGAAAATGGTAATTGAGATTACTCAGATGTTAATTAAATATAATATTATATGTATATATTCACAGAGAATAAACCTAAATAATGATCTATTAGATTCAAATATTTGAAATAAAAACTTGATTTTTTTTGTATATTTGACTTTTGTTTTTAAACAAAATGTGTTCAGATGGTATTTTGAACACTCATTCAGTTAAATGATGGTACATTTGAAGCAGGATATTTCCCTGACCCCTTCCTGGGACTCGAGAAGGGGTGTCTTGTTTACTCAGCCTGCCACTCTCAACTCCTCCGGGGAGGGAGTGCGCAGGCAAACAAGGCAGGAACTGGAGTGCACAAGCACTGGAACTGGCTCACCGCTTTGGCACAGGCAAGAGCAAACTCCGTGCACGCCCTGTGGTAGCAACCAGGTGTGGTTGCCTGCGATTCCTGAAGCCCCAGAAGGTGTGTTACAGTGCTCTTTTAGCTCTGCTGTCTGTGGACAGCTTAAGTGTTAACAGCTCAGTGAGCCCTTTGTCTTGTCACGTGGGACAGCTGCCCTCCACCAGCAAGGGCAAAGGGCGAGTGTTAGTGCCTTTTATATCTGCACTCATGGCTCCCAGGCTCTTGTCCGGCGTCCAGGAAAAATGTGGTCACAAAAACAACTGAAGGATGGTAAATGCGGGGATTTTATTGCTGAGGAAAGTGACTCTCAGTGGAAAAGGGAGCTGAAAAGGGTACAGTGGGGTAGGTGATCTTCCCCTGAAGTCTGGCCATCTCCAGCTGGATTCTTCTCTGAAGTTACACTGTCAAGCTATCCCTCTGAAGTCAAGCTGCTTCTCTCCAATGTCCAGCCATAGTCTCCACTCCTCTCTGACTGAGTCTGGGGTCTTTGTAGGCACAGGATTGCGGGCAGGGAGAGCCATGGGCAGTTTAGGAAAAGGCAACATTCAAGGAGAAAAACATGGATATAAATTCTCACTTTGGGCCAGGGTTTCAGGCATTTCAGCTTGAAGGTAGAGTTTTCACTGGGGACTCACCCTTTTCTGCCTAGAATTTCTCTGCCTCCTGTCCCCATCATGTTTAACTGCCTTTTCCTTTCAAATCTCCTTTAAAAAGGAGCGAGTACATGACACTTTGTAGTAAAATCTGTACCAGAGTTGGAAACTAGGTTTTCCACCTGTCAGAAGCTGGTAGAATTTAGTAATCTCTTTTGTAATGAAGATTGAGTTGAAAGATGACATGAACAACCCACAATATTCCTCACGCAATGGAAAAGTATGCTTAAGCAATAAGGGCATGTGGAAGAGTCTCTCTTTCATATTCAGCACAATTCTTATAACAGCAGCTCTCCTCATGGTGTTAGTGCCCTAGACCTCAATAGCTCCAAATGGCAAGTGGTGAGAACATTAGTATGCAGGAGATCTTCAAGAAAAGCCAAGTCTAGATGATTTCCCACAAGCCTAAACAAATCGCCAGATGCCAAATTCCAACGATGAAGTGTACCCATGGAACTCACTCAGAGCGTGTGCTTGGTAGAGATAGCATGTCAAGAAAAGTGGAGGTACTTGCATAGCTGAATCCCAATGGCATTGTTATGCCAGTTACAGAAGAGAGTGGAAATAGGATTTCCAAACTGGCCCTAATGTGTCAGAACTGACCCAAAATAAGGCTTAGAGTACTGACATTATCTCTGTGACAGTTACATCTTACTTTCATTATTTGTCTCTCTCTAAACAGGATTCTGAATCTTTGGTTAAGTAAAATAAAACTAAACTGATCTAAACATTTTTTTCTTCAACTCTGCAAAGAAGATCTGAACAAAACCCCACATATTTTCTGCAGCACCTATACTAGACAAATATCTTATCATTGCATAATTACATAGAGAAAAATAATCACACATGAAAAAATCGATATTTAATTAAGAAAATACCAGGAATTGTTTTTCAAAGTTTAACTGTAATCTTAATGAGATTTGAGGAAATGTTGCATATTTTTTTTATTTCTGCTATGTGAGTTATAACAGTGAATGGAAAGTCACTGCGTGTGCCTGACTAGGGAAAATGTTGAGGAGGAAAAGCTGCAATGGATGGGGCATGGAGCTCTATTTTTGGTCTTGGAAAGAAAGTTCTAGGTAGGTGGTCAGTGAGGAATGGGGAGAATGGGGAGGGAGGAGGAAGACAAGATTTAAGGGATGTCAGTACCTCTCCTATGTACCTCTTGGGGGAGGGTTGAAGAGTGAGGGGCGTGTAAGTGAAAGCAGAGACAAGGCTGGGAGAGGAAAAAACAAAAAGCACCAGTCACAGGCAATTAAGTTGCCAGAAAATTGGTGTCTGGGCTCCCAGCATCAAGTTAGCTAGCTACTCTAGGCATAACTACTAAAGCTTTAACTGCATTTGGGCTCAAAAAGAGCGACTGTAACTTTAGGGTAACTAGAAAAGACTCTGTAGAGAATCCCTGCCATCAGTAAGAATGGAATGATTTAAAATGTCTCTGGGCACAATGAAGTGCTCCGAGTGCTTAAAGTGCCAGAAAAGCGTACAGGGTTTCCCTCCATATCCTGCCTCTCTCCTTTCCTGTCCCTAGCCCAGCATACACTGCCTGAGTTTCCTAGGACCACGTTCCTGCACCTGGCACTGTCTCCTTCAAGCTCTGTGCTCCTCCTTGTGCCTTCATTTCCCTCAGTAGTCAATAGTATCGTTGTCAATTGATTATGTTATCTACCTTATAAGGTCAGTGTGAAGATTCAGTATTCTAATGCAGGTTCAGAGACCTGAGCAGGTTCCTGCAGTAGAACCAGTGTAAAAAATGAAAAGGAGGTCGGGCGCGGTGGCTCAAGCCTGTAATCCCAGCACTTTGGGAGGC